ACTGATCTGTACCATATATTCGTAAAAACATGTGTGTAATTACGTGGAAATCCGATCCATAAATAAAAAATCTACCGAGAAATAACACTATTGACGTTTTGCAATACGATGTTCGCAACGACAATATTACCAGGGGGAACACATCCATAAACTACAGTGATCGATTGTTATTTCATCATGGATTGAGGCATTAACGCAACTAGGGTTTCAAAGGCAGAGGGAGGGAGTCCATACTTCGTTTTATGTGCCGAACATTGCGAAATGGTCTTCATAGTTGTATTATCATCTTTGTTATATTATCATAATATGCGAACTATCACTAAATCGTAATTAGTTAATAATTTGTCCATATTATATTCTATAGGTCAAATAACATATATTGTTCATAAATTACTTTATACAGCCTATGGCCCCGGGGATAACTTCCCCTGTTTTTAACTCTGTGATTTTACTTTTGTAATAGTTAATTAGCAGGTGTGCAGAATTTATTTAACTTTATTCGGGGGTGCTATTATCATAATTATGTAACCAGCCTCGAAAAAATAGTAAACTGAGCTCCATACATATAATAATGAAATTATGTACAAAACTGCTCAAGTTAAAAATAATTAACTCAAGTTAAGTGAACACAAGACCATTAAGTTAAAAGTTAAAAGTAAGCAAACATTTAATTCGCTATATGTTTAAAGTTAATATGGATTCAGCTATGATTCAACTCAGTTTAAAAGAAGTGAATCAACTTATTTTTTAATCAATGCATGAATTGCATAAAGGTATTTTTGCTAATAGGTAGTAGTATTATTACTATTATTGTACAGTGGGCATTAAATTATTTTTATTTAAATCTGTACGCATACTGTCTAATAACTGTATAAAACTATTATAACCAAAATTGCAAAAAAAAATGTTTGATTCTAACGTCTGAATGGATTACTTGTAATTATCTGGAAAAAATCTCAGTTATTTCAATAACAGTCAATTAAACCAGTCAAGTTTGAAAAAAAATATAAACATAAACTTTTATCAACCGGTGGATTGCGCTCACATTTGATCGTGCGCGATGTGTATTGTTTATGGCTAAACTACAATCTATGGGTTGCGATGAGAATAGGAAAACGATGGCGGATAATGTATCGCCGCCGTCGCAGCCTCCGTCCCGGGTATATATTATAATAGAGGTGTACGACCGCGCGATGTACGTGCGAATATTCGCGTGCCGCAAATCCATAATGCATAATATTATAACACTCTAAACAATATAATGGTGTGTGTGTGTGTGTGTGTGTGTGTGTGTGTGTAAATTGTGCGCAATACACCTATACATTTGAATGTAATGTAGCCACGCGGTTTTTTTTAATGAGAAATTTGAGCCGTCCGTGTAACCCGACTCTCGGGCGGCGGCGACGGTAGTCAAAACAATATTAAATACGCACGCACACTAAAACGATATGGCGTGTGTAATGCGTGTGTGGATACCATGAGTGCCTATATATTCTTGTACATTATAATATACGATATATATGTGGCAATACAACATTAGTATACTGCAAATTACATTATAGGTTATATTATGTCACCGGAAATGTATAGCGCAGTTGAGCAATATATATTATTATGAGTATGCCTGTGTATTATATATTTAAATTATTTATATATGTAACAAATATACAAAAACTCGTATTATGCGAACCCATCGAATCGTTCTATACGGTTGTATACAACAAGTATTATCTATACCTGATGGCCGATCGGTTACATAATGAACAGTGGCTTCGGGTTAGCTTTTTCTGCGGTAAAGCTCTGTAAGTGTACTTGTCGGCCGGCGTTGCTGGCTCCCAGATGGGTGACCACCCGAGATTTTTAACATAAAAATCCTTTGCCACACACACACACACACATACATTACGTGTTCTAAACGAACAGCCCCCCTCTACAAACAGCCAATGGTAATTGCCGTGCTTCGGTTCAATAATAAAAAATAAATAAATAAATATAATGAACAAATATCATCGTTTATTTTAACAAAATGTAACGGCAGACTGCAGAGTAATAATTGGTGAAATGCCTTGCGAAATTGCGTAATAGGTAAAATATACTCTCTCTATTAAAATACAACACCCGCGATGTCAAACATAATATTTTTAACCATAACGTACCGGTTACATTTAATGATAGCTATATAGAAAGGTATTCCAAAAATATTTATTATGATGAAAACAAAAAATTTATATACTTTTATGAAATGTATGATATATAGTTGTCATGATATTGAAAATTGTATGAACCTAAACATAATATTATTACAAAATGCAGACCTGCCTATTACAAATTATCTACAAGTATACTTATTATACCTATACACTCCGCCCATATATTACCGACTACATATCAGTAGATATACAGATATTCTTTTTATATGATGTAGGCACAGTAACAACATAATTATATATGTGTAAACAATATAATAAGGTATAACGTATAAGACACTAAAGTTTATCCAACCTTATACCATTGATAGATTTTACTGTTCCAACTCTTTTCGGACGATTTTACGTCTTGAAACATTGTAATTATATTATATTCTATTTAATGTGAAAGCCCATGGATTGGAACATATACCTACATAATACAAAATACACATCTCATATAGGTGTATTAATTCTATGTTAATGTATTCATAAAAACCAACTTCTATTTTTACACTATGGCTTAAATTTCTTGCTCCGGCCAGAGAATTATAATATACTATTGTATAAATTATAAAAGTGATACATTTGTTAAACATTTTGTTCATAATTCAACCATAGATTTTATTTTTAAAATTAAATTAAATTAATTATAATTACAAAAAATATTAGTTATAACTAATAATATTAAATATTAGTTTATTTTTTGTTGAATTCTATTCAATATCTATAACAGACAAGAGCCAAGTCTACATAACTACATAAATATTTAATAGCCTATTAGCCTGCAGGTATTGAAAAATGTTTAATGATATTGCTACGTGGGAATAGGAATTTTTATAAAATTATAGTAATATATTGTATTAAAATTTCAAAGTTTAAATGGATAAAATAGTAACTACATATTTATTAAGTATACTCCACATAAATTGTTTCAGTAACTTACGCTCATACTTTCAACCATACATGATTTTCTTAACTTGTCACAATGTTGAAAACTTTTAGTTACCAAAATAAGCTTGAAACTTGTTATAAATTTGAAATGGATATAATCAATCATATAAAATAAGAGTAGTATATAATTTAAAAAAGAAAAACTAAAACTAGAAAATATATTTTTTTTAAAGGATACTGCTCCGCTATACACAAGGTTACAATCAGGTCACTATAATGAATGATGTTAAATTTAAATTCAATGATATTATGTCAAATTTGAAACTTTAAATGCTTACCAAACAAAAACTGTGTATATGCATCTTTAACATTTTTTAACTGTTATTATATAAACCTATGAGGAATTCTGTGCTCAATTTTCAAGATTTTTGACTCAACCAAAAAAATGTTATTGACATTTATAGAAAAAAAGGTGTAACTAAATAGCTAAATAGCTTAAGACAAGTCAAAATGTTTTGAAATCACTTATAGACACCGATAAAATAAATATTTTAATTACACCAAAAAACCAAAATCGATTCTGTCAAAAATTTGTTCTACGTAAGAAACCCAATTTTTCCTTAATTTTGTATTTGTTTTTCTCGGCGCTTTTGAAAACTCCTGGGACTTACAATTTTTACCTCTCTAAAGTATCAACTAGATTCATTTTATTACCAGAAAAGATACTTGAGTTGAACATCAAAGAATTTTTACAACTATAATTGTCATATATACATACACCAAAAAAATCATCATTTTATAATGAATACACTCATCTAAACAACTCACATCGGAATTCAGGGTGGTCCTTGGGTTTTTTCTTGAAGTAGCTGTGTGATTGAAACTCCGTTTTATTCCAAAACAGTACACAATTATTTTACTGACGAAACGTAATACATAATGAAAAGTACATAGCAAAAAGTAACTCAATGTTTCTAACGATTATGATATATTTCTGATAAGAAAGTGAATCAAGCGAGTCAAAAGTAAAAAATTCTGATTAACATTCAAAAGCGTCGGGGAAAAAGAAATTAAGGAAAACTGGAATTTTTCAGCAAATATAATTTTAATTTTTGTTTTAACTCCAAAACTAATAGCCGTAGACACTTTAAATTTTCACCAAATGTTAATATGACTATTTCTCATACATGATCACACGGTAGAAATATTTTGCATCTTTTTAACTATTTATAATCAAGAAAAAATTTTTATTTTATTATTTGCTTTTTCTCAATTATTGTCGATATTTTTCACTTGGTTAAAAACTACGGCATAAGTTGTTCAGAGAGAAAAATTACCCTTTTACAATGGTTTTGTGTCATTTTATTCAAATCTTTCACAATATCTATAACAATGACCCACAAGACATGTAATGTATAACAGAGTATTGTGTACCCACTTGTCCACCTTTTTATATTAGTACTTCATTACTTCCAGCTTATGCTAAATATTAATGCAAACCCAAATGTGGAGAAGTCTCCGCCAAGGAGATCTCCTTTTATCACGCCACTGAATTATAAAATACTCAATTACATTAATTAAAAACACGATAATGCATTAATACTTATAACTGCGACATTTATTACTTTATTTTCATTTAAATACAATAATGTACCCTTCCTGTGCATTATTTTGCTTCAAATAAGAAATGTTTATGTTTTCATTATTGGAAAATTAAAACTGTAATTGTATAATAATTAAAAACGTATAAGTATATTCATTATTATAGAATTGTTATTAATTATATACAATCGTTATAACACACTAACACCATCATAGAACCTATAGACCATAGTATGATGATTGACATAGTATATTATGCCTTTTAACTTACTGTACACGTAATAGGATTATTTTGATAATAATTGATTTTGTTTGCAGAATTACATAATCGGCTCTCTCAAATGTTATTGGAACCACAGCAGCAACACGGTGGTGTGGACGAGGGAGGCAACGAGCGGCATCGTCGCCATGGTCGGCACCATCATGACGAGCACATGAGTGACGGCGGTGGTGGTGGTGACGAACAGCAGCAGCAGCAGCAGCAACAGCAACAAATGCTGTTACTACATCAACACCATCTGAACCAGCAACACTTACAGCACCAACAACATCATCCGCATCAGCAAGGCCATCAGCCACAGTTGCTTCAACAGTTGTCACAACACCAACAGCAGCAGCAGCAACAGCACCAAGACAACGAACTGCAACAGCACCAACAAATGCAGCAGCAACGCCAACATGAACAGTTGGATGGCCACCATCATCCACATCACCAATTACATCACGACCAACAGTTGCACGATCTCCACCACCAAAACCTACAGCAACACCAGCAAAATCTTCAACAGCACCAGCAAAGTCTCCAACAACAGCAGCAACAGCAGCAACAGCAGTACGGGGAGGTGAACCAACTTGGCGGCGTGTTCGTCAACGGGAGGCCGTTACCTAACGCGGTTCGCGTGCGCATCGTCGAATTGGCACGAGTCGGCATCCGGCCGTGCGACATAAGCCGTCAGCTGCGCGTCTCACACGGTTGTGTGTCCAAGATCCTGGCCAGGTACCACGAGACGGGCAGCGTGCTACCTGGGGCCATCGGGGGCAGTAAGCCCCGGGTGACCACACCTAGGGTGGTGGCGTACATTGGCCGGTTGAAACGCAAGGACCCGGGAGTGTTCGCATGGGAGATTCGGGACCGACTGCTCGCCGACGGCGTGTGTGACAAGTTCAACGTGCCCAGTGTGTCCAGCATCAGCCGGATACTGCGCAACAAGATCGGATCTGCGGGACCGACCCAAAGTGCGGTATCTCAGCAGCCTGCGACCGCCATGACCGGTGGTGGTGCTCTTTCGCCGACGACCGCTGCAGCGGCGCACCACATGTATGGACCGTACCATCACCACCATCATCATCACCCATCTACGTCACCACCAGCCGTAGCCGCGGGCTATCAGCTCCACCACCACCAACACAGCCAATATCACCACCAACACCACCAGCTCTACCACAACCATCACTACCAACAGCACCAACACCTCTGTTCGCCACCACCGCCCCCACCTTCGTCGGGTCTACCAACCGTCGTGCCGCCAGTGGCAGGTGGCCCTACGTGCTGTTCGCCGACAGTACCGACCGTGGCCTCCAGGTCCCTGTCATCACCGCCACCGGTGCCACCGCTTCAACCACCAGCACCTCCACCGCCGCCACCACAACACTGCTGGCCGAGTCCGCACGCCGTCACAGACATACTCGCGGCAGCGGCCGCCGCCCAGCAACAGCACCAACACCACCAGCACTTGCACCCCTCGCACTCGCATCACCTACACCCGTCACAACACCACCCAAACAGTCATTTTGGTGTCGGCGGTGGAGGCGCTGGTGCCGGTAGCAGTGACACCGCCGCCGCCGCTGCCGCCGCTGCAGCTGCAGCAGCTGCAGCCGCGGCGGCCAACTACGACTCGACGGCCGGTGGCAGTGCAGCAGCCGCTGCGGCCGCCGCTGCATACAACACGTACTGCAGCAGTTACTACCATCACGCAATGGTATACGCGGCCACCGCGGCGGGAAGCATCGCGGCCTCCGGCCGCCATCCGTCACACCATCTGAGCACGACGCCAACGTGCACAGCCGCCGCTGTGTGGCCCCACTCGATAGCACCACCTCCGCAACCGTTGCCACCGCCGCAGTCACCGACGCCTTCACCGCCGGCATCAGCAGAGGTGACCAACGCGTGACCATTACCGTGGTGGTGAATTCCCAGAGTGGAACACCGAACAGTGGAGATGATATCAATCAATGATATCTTAATTTTTTTTTTTAATGGGGAACAAAAGACACTTGTCCGCGATGACTGTTGTATACGCAACTCCAACCTGTTAATAATGTTACACAAGTTAAAGACCACCAAACAAAAACTAATTATGTGTATTAATATGGACACATTTGTGTAATTTCATTCATTTTATCTTTCCGTAATTTGCATAATTTTTGAACACACTAATTTTTCTAACTAAAACTGATCTTATGATTTATTACGATACATCCTGTGTTGGTATTTAGGTATATTATACGAGTTTATCCAGAACAGTCTTTGGCTGTGCAGGGTCCCTTGGGGCTTGGGCACACATACTTTAGGACCCTTTTAAAAAAGAAAAACAAATGCCAAAGAAAACATCAAAATGTCCATTAGCTTGGGGAGGGGACTGGACGCGTGCCTCACGTGGCCTTAGGTAAAAGACGCTTACCTATGAGTTTATCACACGATAATAGTGTGTAAATTCATTAATAACGACCACATTTTATTTTGTATGTACGATTCGATTATTGAGAATAAGTGGTAGAAGAAATGTATGTAAAATACCGCTCTTGCCGCCTATTATGAACATATGTAGGTACCTTATATACATTGTATTTATCTGTACATATACTGCCATTATATTATTATGTATACATATATGTTCAATATATATTGTTTATTTAAATATTTTTTTTGTTTTATGTAAGCGTTTATAATATGTTATTAATATTTTACAACTGTGACTGTAGTCGTTATTTTATTGTTACCTAACGGTCGTTATAAGAATCGTGCATATACATCATTAAATACTCATCATTTTAGACGTAGTTAAAAATTAAAGTGCCGATACTTCAGTTATATCTTTAAAGTTGACTGCCACCACATTTATTATATATAGTAGCTCTCACCTGGAGATTATAACGATATGGCAATTAAGGGGCCTGCCAAGTTTATAATTTTGAAATTGTTAAAGTAACGGTTACTCAATTTGTATAAATCTGAAAAAATGTATGTACGGGCAATTGATTCAAATAATTAATTTTCATCAACTAGTAGAAAATCAATAGGTAGTGAAATATAATTATTATTATCTGTATAGGCATTAAAATAAAAAATGTAGACAAGTAGTTAACCATTCTACTATACACTTGAAGTCCAGTGTATCTTAATGTTGGGTAGGTAACTGTAATGGATAATACATTTGAATTCAATGATACATCATTGCATACGAAAAAGGATTCTGAGCCAAGACTGAGGTCTGTCAGCCTTTATTACTAAAAGTATATTTTATAGTAATATTTATACTAATTATACTACAATAATATTAATAATACAGTGTAATTGTATGAATAATTTTTATTAAATTTAATAGCTTAATGTTAATCTAAATATTTTGAAAATTACTTACAAAAAATTATAATAATCAGCGTAAAAATTGAAATCTCCATAAATATTTTTGAATAAACTAAAATGTATGTTCAAATATCCATTTACGTCAAAATTTGATATTCAATTCTTCATAAAAAATGTTGTGACTAATTTTTTTTTTTAATTCCAATAAATTAATTTAAGAGGAATGTTGTTTCTAATTTTCAAGACAAAGGTATGCACATTTACGTTTATAACTATAAAATAGTTTTCATAATTTTGATGAATTTAGTTAAAACCTCAAATATAGTTCTTAACTCAAAACGAATATAAAAAAATGTGTGAATATATTTTTAATATTTTTGTCATCATTTATACTATTTAATATTTCATTAAAATACTACTCAACTTTTGAGAAATCTGGTGTTATGTTTTTGATTTTTATCAGCCCTAAAACAATCATTTTATAAATAGAGGAAACTTTCTCGGTTTGAATATTTATAAATACTACAAAAAGGTATTAAATATTTTTTGAATTAAGTCATGTTTAGTTAATAATGATATGAATATTTGTTAAAAATTCAAGTGTTAATAGTATCACTTATTTTTAAATAACATCAATAAAATTAAATTAAAACAAGGTTTGCCGAAAGATTCTCGGTTTTACGGATTATTTTGAAAAGGACTTAGAATTTCCTTTGGAAGGTCCAATTTGCTAAATTAAAAAAAAAAAATAATCAAAATTTGACAGACAAAAGACAATAGTAATAAAAACACAGCGGTTCAATACAGTCATTTTTAAAAGAATTAAAATGTTGAATCTTAAATATATGTCAAAGAGTTCAAGGTGTTTCAAAAGTGTTCCCATGTAATTCCCTCCATTTTTTTGTGTAATAATGAGGTAAGCATGAAACAGTTATCATCAGATTCACATGACAAAATATTTTTTTTGTATAGAAAAGAGTAACTGGAAGTTTATTTTAGTTCCTCGAATTTGAAAGTTGAATAACTTGGGAAAGGGTTGAACACACAATAAGATTAAAATCACAAACCAGCACATCCGAATAGAGTTAATTATGTTTCTAAATTCCGAAGTGGGGTAGCCGAGGACATAGACCTAAATTTTCTCACTACATAAAAGATAATTTTATCTGTGTTGTAGAGATTTTATTTTTGTGATATCAGTACTCAATAATTTTAAGAAACAAATGAAAAAACCATAGCAAGTTTCTCTTTATTTTTGCTCCACGAGAAAAATTCATGAATTATAAATATGTTTTTGTTAATAATTAACCATGACAACGGATGTTTTATTAAAAATCAAGACATCTAACTAAATGAAAAACCGTTTTTCCAACCATAAATATTTTAAATTCCTTCTACCATGCATAATATATTATAATAAACGAAAGCGTATCAAACATTTATTTTTAAATCATTGTTTATTTAAAATTGAAATAATTAGTTATATATATATCTTACCATTCATATCAACGATAATAATAACAATACATTTTTCCGATGAAACTGAAATTTATACTAAACGTTAAGTGTAGAAATATTATGATGCCAAGGCCAAGTGTAATGTCGAAAATAATGAAATCATGAACTCACTAAATAAGAACTATTTTAAATTTACATTGGAATTGACGATTATGTATTATTAATAATATTTCACATTTCAATCCAAATAACTCTGCACATTATATTTATTCATCATTATTCATTACTCCTTACTATATTAAATGAATATTCAATATATTTAACCACTGCTTATAATTATTTTTTAATATTTTGTTAGTAACTTTTTATTAAAAATAATAATTCCTATAACTGCGACTTAACCGAAGACCTGCTTTAATTATCATTAATCACATTTATTCAACATAATATTATAAATATAAACGATACACCATTATCTTAGGTCGAAGTATACAAAATACGAATTCACAACCTTTTTTGAATCTGAATTATTATTTTTTATTTCCGATTAAATTGTTTTGTGAATAAAATGTTTTTATGAAATCAAAGCTACTACAGTAAACTATAGTACACAATGTTGGATTTTGGATCAAGTATCAAGTTTTAAAAATTTAAGTGTTAAAGTATCATTTAATAGTTGGAAGCAGTGCCGTGCGTCTGATAGTAGTGAACAAAGCGTACCTTTACATGCACGTACAAAAATTGCCTATTCAAAACGCCTTTATATTGTTATATTTCTATCAGTGTACGATAATCATTTTTAGTTTTTATTCTATTAAAAAATATGTTTGATACACATACGAATATCATGGAATGATAAATTATTTATATTTATATCAAATATCATTAATTTCTGAAAGAACGTAATCTATTGAAAATCTATTTTATGTTAACTTCGTTAATTGATAAATACATAATTTTGTTATAACTAACATTGAATTAAATAGAAATTAATTACTTCAAATTTCAGTAAGAAAAAACATTTTAGAAATAAAAACAACAAATTGTATAACAATAAATCTACAAATGAAAACATAATTTTTTTGAAAAATACAATATTTAGCTCAAGAAAAATTATATAGACACATTACATTGTGCACCTACTATAAAATACTAATTATTGTGTAAATTACAAATATTATTGAACAATACGAATAAGACAAAACATACATAATACATTTTATCGATAACACTCGTACTTACATCATATTATATTATATGTGACATGTGTATATAATGTGCAAGGTAATAATGTTTATTGTGTACCATAGTTAATTGGTTTTTACTTTTTAGTTTGTACTGTATTCAATGTTATTTTTTGGTTACTTTTTAATGTAATGTTGTAATATTTTTTATATAAGTCGTATGACCTGAGATCATGATTTTTTAAAACAATTTTAACTTGATACCTCTTTGACAAATCAAATTTTATAGTATTAATTTATCGGTTGAAAATATATTTTTGCCGAATTCTGTGATGTACTTTTTTAACTCTATAGTTCAAACTGACACTTCTTTAGCTTTTAACATATTGGATCTATAGGTTATAGGTAACATACAAAGACACAGTAGTGACTAGGGAGGCTTTTAGGTTTTAAGCTTTACAAACATTTTCTACATTTTTTTTCAATTTTTTTCCTTTTTTTTCAATATTGTTATTTATTATTAAATATTTATGGATGTATTTTTAAAAATGTATTAGTTTATCTATATAAATAAGTATTATATATATCTATAAGTAAATAAACTTCATTTATATATCTTTAGTTTAGTAGTAAATTTTTTTAATCTAGACTCAACGTCAACTAACACTGTATTGATTGCTTTGATTGAACATTTCACACATGGGTAAAAAATGGGTGGTCATTTATGGTAATTCCTCACAGTTATTGAGTAATTAAATAATTATAAATCGTTAATATTTGATGATAATAGCTACAGATCACTTTTAATTATTTTGTAATTACAATTAAACAATAATAATAATAATAATAATAATAATAATAATAATGATAATTGAATAATTATGAAGTTTAATGAACAGTAAATTGTTAATGTTACATAAGTTGATTTATTTTTTTGTGATTAACTATAGATACCAAATTAAATTTGAATTTAACATAATAATTAAATGTTATACTAAACCAAAAAGTTATAAATATCCCAGATAACAAAATAAATGTATATTAACATTTTATATCCTATAGGTACATTGTAAGCGAATATAAGAAGAGGAAATTTAGTGACACCTTTCAAGTGTTGCATGCAGCATCAGACGAAGCTGAACATGACTGAATAACATGGATATTGATATATTATGAAGACTACCCACCACGACGTTACCATTTTAATTTTAATTTTAATGTTAATTCAATGTATATTTTACAAGGTGGTAATATTGTATTTGCATTTTACTGCACGGCCATAAGAATATATTATGATATGTATGTGTATACAAATTATGCAAAATGTATAATTTTTGAAAATGCATGAACGGGGGGGGGGGGGGGTAAGTCGGAGAGCTGTCCCGTCTACTCCCCAAGTATGTATAAATATTTGTTATTGTCAATAAACGATGGCCAAAGCAGTTCCCTCGGCGTCGTCGACAAACAAATTGTACCTATACAAATTATATACCATTAAAAAGATAAAGCAATTAACTCTGGCTCTCAAACCTAGATATTGATCTATGGCGCCTTTATTTTATGCATTTAAATAATTTGATTTATATTTTGTTTTATCTCTACATTTGTTTAATATCCTATTTTATTATGCATATATATATACAATATTTTTTATTATGTATTATATATTATGTTGGGTA